CAGCCAGCCATGCTGGCTGGGGAATTCTGGGAGTTGAAGTCCACACGTCTTAAAGTGGCCAAGGTTGAGAAACACTGCTCTAGGTGCCTAAGCAGTATGCCATATCTGCTTTGCTTTTGACTGGGCGCAACAGTTATTTCTCTCTTATCCTGCTTGGGCAACAGATAAGGCTGGTCCACTGATGGTGAAGGAAGAGTTGACCACCGCTGCTGGGCCTCTTAAAATAGGCCATTTTATGGAGGTGGCTGGGGAAGGAAAGTGGTGAAGTTGCTCATGGGCGCCTAAAGGGTCATGTTGGAAAAAAATGGGTGGGTTCTGTAGAAAGCTGCTTGGTGCTTTCCAACAGTCAGGGATCCCTGGAGATCTTGAGTGGGGTATCGTGAGAAGTCTCATTGGGATCCTTCAGCAAACCAGTTGCTACAGGCAACAAATTCTCTGCAACCAGAAGATGGCTTCATACCGTGCACCAAGGTCTGGCTTGTTTAACCCATGATTTACTGAATAAGCCACCATGGTCTGGGTTCATGTATTCAGTTAAACCATAAACCGGTGGTTCCCAACCTTTTGTATGCCCCACACCCCTAGGAAATGTTTGATTAATATTTGCACCCCCTACAAAGGTAATATCACATTTGAAGATGAAGACCTCTAATTTCTAATGCGGGTGAACAAATTGAACTTAGAAAAATAAGCTTTTAACTCAGTACATAAAATTGTCGTACTCCCTGGAATTCCAGCTCACACCCCAGGTTGGGAACCCCTGCCATAAACTGATGCTTATAAACCATTTGGGGTAGCTTCATATAACATCCTGGGTCTAAATAAATCTGTTTCTTGAAACCACGCATGAGGAGGCTGAAAAATGGTGTTACATTCATCTCTCACGGTCCAGCCCAGTGAAGCTTGAATGAAATTGCTTTCATTCCCTTTTTACAAGTGGAGAAATTGAGATAGGGAGACAGAAGTTTCTTAAAGCCACATGTTAGCTAAATTCACAGAACACTCTTAACCAGGTCAGATAAAAAGAGATGTCTTTTGCGTAACATGCTATGCCTAGTTAGCATTACACTTTGGTTTTGTTGAGTGTGTTCTGTGATCTCAGGCCATTTGGTTAGTTAGTTTAGTAAGCAAGTTAATTCAGTCAGGGAATTCAGGGCTCCAGCCTGATTCCTGAGACTAGAGTTTTGCATTTTCTGGGAGGATTTACATAGAGAACTAGACAAAGCTCCATGATATCTTAGCAGTTGGATTCCCACGTTGTGGATCCTGCCTACTTATTAAATTGTGGTTGGATAAACCACTGTTGACTGGATTCATATCACACGCTAAGTCAAACCTATCCTTGATGATGACTTAGTGCATTATGTTTGAACACAGCTACTGTGTCCTGGGATTTTGGGGAAATGTATTTTTTCAGTGCCCAGTCAACACTTGGAATATAGGCTACACGTTATAGTATGGTGAGAATCTTTTCCATGCCTCTCACTCATTTACTGAAGGACCTTTCTGGTAATTTTGGAATACCTTCCTGGAGAGATGATCCTGATGCCAGACTGGCTCTGCCTTTGATTCCGATTCATCATACTCTTCATATTGACTCAAATCTGTTGGCTTCAGCAGATGGCAGCCTTTAGTTGATCTCAGAAGCTGCATTTGCACTTAGATGGGAATAATAGGGTGGCAGATAGATTGGGAAATCCAAAAAACATTCTGGAAGAAGGCTTTGGCAAACCATAGTGTCCCATGCCTGGCATTTAGATATTTTAGAATTTTTTTAAAAAAATCCTAACACTGTGGGAATTCTGGGAGCTGAAGTCCACACATCTTCAAGTTGCCAAGGTTGAGAAATACTGCTCTGGATCCTGAATGTGACTGTTTGTTCTAAACCTTCTACATGCCTGGTTTGGCCCCAGCTACTCTTTCTCCCTTTGCCAAAAAATATTTCCAGTCTTGGACCTTTGTGAATGGTGGATAAGAAAGAGGTTAAAGTGTCGTCCTCTAACTGGCCGTGCATCTACTCTGTTGCTATGTACCTTCCCTAAGAGGGCTTGTACTGAACCCCGGCGTCACTTGGGGGCTGGATGTCACAAGGATTGAGAAGGGGGAATATTTATAACTCCAACATCTTGCCAGGTTTGATATATTTAGACAGTATTCTGGCCAACAACAAATCAGCTGCAATGGGGCTCTAGAGCACGGTTTATAGCTGCCTGTACTTTCTTCAGAGCTTTCCTTACCGTTTCTTTCCACCCCAAATAACTCATGAAGAAATAAAGTAAGGACCATGGGGCATGTCTTTAAAAAAAAGGCTTGGTTGGGCTTGGAAGCTAAGCAGGGTCAAGCCTGGTTAGTGTTTGGATGGGAGGCGGACAGGCAATTACACGGTTGTTGGCTAGACTGGGAAGTTCAGCAGCTTCCTGGAAGAAGGCAATGACAAAGATGTTTTGGTCTTATTGCCAAGGAAACTGCATGGATGTGTCCGTGAAATCACCAAGAGACAAGCTTGACTTGAAGGAGGCTATAACTTGCCTTAAACAATAACAACTAAGCGCTATGATTTTCTGAGGACACTTTGGGGCCCTGAAATGTTCTGGGAGTTAAAGTCCACACATCTTCAAGTTGCCAAGGTTGAGACACACTGCTCTGGATCCTGAATGTAATAGTTTGTTCTAAACCTTCTACGTGCCCAAGCTACTCTTTCTCCCTTCACCAAAGTGGTGATAGAGGTTGGCTTCCCATTTTTTAAAAGGTCAGGTAGGTCAGGGAAACCAGGCACCAGCCTTGTAACCCCAGTCCTTCCCTGTTGTTCCTCTTCCATCTTGGCCATCCTCAGTGCCCAAAGATCTCCATCCCTCAGCTTTTCTGGGCTGGTTTCTATTCTGCACTCAATTCCTGTAAATCTCTTTGCAAAATGCCCGTGCAATGCTCGCTTTCTGCCTTCCCGGAAATTCCTCCTTCCCCAAAGCCTTCTCTTTCACAAAGATTGCTTACGCATGATCCTTTCAGACCCCAACGGAAGTGTACCCCAAATCTAGCCATGCCTTCGTGTGTATTTCTTTTCTGTGATCTCCAATTTCTTTCTTTTTTGTTTCCCCTATCCACTGCTGAAATGTGGATTGCAAGCTCCGTCCTGCATATCTTTCTTTTAAGTTTGCAAAGACCCACATATGTTGATTGTTTTATAGGCAAAGTCACGTGATTGGGATCTCATTTGTCCAGTGTAAAACCTGATCTTGTGGCCAGTTTTGATAGCCCCCCATAACGTGATCCTCTTATAACCAGTTCCA